TAAGAGAGTTATAAAGTAGTTTATGCTTAATATTGTTTTTTATGCTTACCTTATATTCTTAGGGACCCATCAGGAAGGCTTAATTTTAGTGGAAAGGCAGTTTTACATGCGCAAGGAGTAGATTTTAGTAATGGTAATAGTTACAAAATTAATATGGATGAATTACAAGTAATGGAAGAAATTGGGAAGGGACAATATGGAACAGTACAAAAGGTATTCCATAAACCTACCAACGTTACAATGGCTATGAAGGTTGGTAGTTTTTTAGTAACTTTAATAAAAGATAATAAAAGAAGTTGTTTTTAATAAAAGAAATTGTTTTTTAATGAATGATTTGTTGGAATAAATATTTATAAATATTTTAGGAAATCCGCCTTGAACTTGATGAAGCAAAATTAAATCAAATATTAATGGAGCTGGATATTCTCCATAAAGCCAAGAGTGACTATATTGTGGATTTTTATGGAGCTTTTTTCATTGAATCCTGTGTATATTATTGTATGGAGTATATGGATGCTGGATCATTAGATAAATTATACGGAGATGGAGTACCAGAAGATGTGCTTGCAAAAATCACAAGTTCTGTAAGTTATCTATCGTTAATAAATTCATAATAATTTTATATTTTACAATAAATAAATAAAAATGATTAATTTGTAATATTTATAATATTTATAATATTTATTTTAATATTTATTATAATATTTATAATAATGTATAGATGGTAAAAGGGTTGTTATTCTTGAAAGATAAGTTGGATATTATTCATCGTGGTACGTGATCTTTGTATAGAATACATATATGAGATATATATATAATAAGCATACGTAATCTTGATGTAAAAAGAAAGGATGACAAATGAAATATGAATTTTTTTTTAATTTTTTTACAGATGTAAAACCCACCAACGTCCTTGTAAATAAAGCAGGTGAGGTGAAGCTGTGTGATTTTGGAGTATCCGGTCAATTGATACAATCACTTGCGAAAACTAACATTGGATGTCAAAGTTATATGGCGGTATGACGAATAAAGAAATGATTAACTTGTTAATTGTTAATCAAATTTTAAAGAAAGTAATTTCTTTCTCGTAACACTGAAACGCATGTTCTTTACATAGCCCGAACGGATACATAGTGGTGAAGCTAGTACATACACTGTGCAATCAGATGTTTGGTCTCTTGGATTAGCCATGGTTGAACTTGGAACCGGAAAATATCCATATCCTGTTCCGGATAAGAATGAACAAATTAGTATGTTTGTTCAATTAAATGCTATCGTTACGGGAACACCGCCATCGTTACCTGAGGATAAATTTTCAGAAGAGTGTCGAGATTTTGTAGCTCAATGGTATTTATCAAATTATTTATCAAATTAGTTATCAAATTAGTTATCAAATTAGATATCAAATTAGTTATCAAATTAGATATCAAATTAGTTATCAAATTAATTATCAAATTAGATATCAAATTAGATATCAAATTAGATATCAAATTAGATATCAAATTAGATATTAGATTAATTTCAAATCATTCATTAAACTATATAGTTACTGTTAGTCAATAATTTTAATAATTAATTTTAATAAATAATTAATTAATTTAGTTTAAGTAAACGTCCTCAAGATCGTCCTACATACAAGCAATTGTTGGTAAGTATGGCATAAATAAAAAACGAATTCCGAAACTAATTTGTATCATGAGTTAAATTTTTATTCACACTTTTATAAGGGCCATCCATTCTTAGTAAAATATGAGGAGATTGAAGTCAACATGAAAGCATGGGCAGAAGAAGCATTCTCTTTATCGAGGAATGGAAATAATGGGAATAATGGGAATGGACCATAGTCATAACTATTGTTAAGACTACATTTATATAGTCCACAAATTATTATACGATTTATACGATTTATTCGATTTATACGATTTATACGATTTATACGATTTATACGATTTATAGTAAATTTCACTAATCTAAAACCTTGAATTTTGGTGGACACACGCTAAGCCACCTAAGCTACCTATATATTTGTGCAAATTAGAAACTTTTTCTATTTTATTCAATATATTAAAAACAATTGTTTTTTTTATTCATTTTCATTTCATTTTAATTTTCAATTCTTTCATTTTCAAAATTTAATGCATATGAAAGTTAAACAAGTCTAAACATGTGATATTATTATAGATATCACGTGGCAAGACTCAGGAGCATCCGAATATCGATACTATACGTATCGATTATTCGAGTATTCGAGGTATTGGAGGTATCGGTATTAGGTTTTTTTTGTTTTGGTATTACGTAGATTACATGCACAAATATTGTAAACAAAAGACCGATAGAAATTCTACTGCGCATGATACTAACCATAGGCAGTACATGATTGCTTGATTACATCACAGAATATAACATAATATATATAATTTAAGAATAGATGCATTCCCGTAATAGTAAACATGTGACTAAAAGAAGTCATGTAAATCTAAATATATTAATTTGAAAATTTTAATTTATATCACGCGTCAAATAGATATTAATAGATATGGTGAATGAATGGGCATTTACAAACAAAAACCAAAAGTAAGGTAGTATGAAGGCACATTCCCTCGCAGATAAACATTGTAGTTCTAAAAGGAACAATTTTATTGGTATTTTATTTTATTTTAGTTTATTTATTTATTTATTTTATTTTATTTTTTTTTGGAGAAAAACACAATGCAGGCACAATTTACTTTAAAAAACAGAAATGAACAAAGGAGTTGTATGCTTTAAACTCAATTGAACTTAACCGGTTCTTTAATAATTGTATATAATCTTGTTCCTTACAATGTTTGATTCTTACAATGTTTGATTGGTTGTTACAATGTTCGATTGGTTGTTACAATGTTCGATTGGTCGTTATAATGTTCGATTGGTTGTTACAATGTTCGATTGGTCGTTATAATGTTCGATTGGTCGTTATAATGTTCGATTGGTTGTTATAATGTTCGATTGGTTGTTAAGCAGGTAAATTATGCTATGTACTATTGATGCAATCATGAGGGTATTGTCAAGTAGTTTAAGGATAGTTTGTAATTGAATAAATTATGTCGATATTATGTCGATACCATGTTGCAATACCATGTTGCAATATTATATGTTGTTGCGATATTAAATGTCACGGAATGTCACGGAATGTCACGGAATGTCACGGAATGTCACGGTCGGCAAAGGATTTATCATCCGGGTTACACACCTACGTTACCATTTTCTTTATTCAATAAAACAATTGCATTTATTTAATAACTATTTTTTTTTTTTTTTAAATGCCCTGACGTTAAAAAAAACAAAACGCAATGCGTGTATTATTTTTAAGGAAAAGAATAATTCATGTGGAAATTACTAGAGGCTTGATTTCAAAACTATCCATTTATGCTAATTTTATTATCGAGAATTCTCACGGACAAATCTTTTGAAAATCAGTTTTAATTCAAATTATCGATATCTCGATCATCTCGATCTGTTTGAAACTTTCTAAATTTTTATAATCCAGTAATCATGGAAATATCAGGAGTTATAGCTAAACTTTATTAAGGATGCCCTTGTAAATGGCTTTTTTTAATCACACTCCGAAGAAAGGGCATTGATGCATTGAAGCATTATAAGATACTTTTATGGCACAAATCACACAAAAAATCATGTTCCCGTACTAACAAACACTGATTGATGTATCTCACATCATCATAACGAAGTTATTAAGGTGAATCATGCGCTGACATTTAAATTGGTAAAAAATGGTAGGAAAAAATCCTCCGATTAGATATGAAGATTCAATTTTAATGACTTTAATGACACATAAATTACATTACTTCTACGCTTAATAATGCTAATTATATGTATATGTATAAAATGGTGAGTAGCCGGTTATCGTTATTGTATGTATGTTAAGAGGTTTAGAATTGTAAAGAAATATATATTACTCTGTCTTACCAATTACTGAAAAATTAAAACTCCACTATCATTTATCAATTGAATAGATTGATGCGTATTGATAAATATAACTGTATATAGTTTTATATAGTTCATTTACCCTTTGCTCTAAATCCTTTGAATACGGATTCACTCTTTCCCCTAAACACCTACTTTCACCCCCACCCCAAAAAAAAAATAAAAAAATAAAATAAGAAAACTAATCAATCATATTTTTTTTTTTTTCTGACTTGATTGCATGTGCGGCTGTCCATTGTTTGGTAAAGTTGTATAAAGCAATGCTTGATTGATCAAGCTTTGATTCCCCCTCTCCGTTGATGCTTCTCCTTTTGAACCGCAAAACTTACTAAACCTTTTTTTTTTCTTTTTTCCTTCACTGCTAAAAACAAAAAAAAATTTTTTTTTATTCGCTTACTTTTCTTAAACGCGTTGAAACAGAAACGTATATCTTTTCCAAGATTAACTGAAGGAACGCATATAAGCTTTTAAATTGTAAAGAATCTATTGCTTTGGAATCTGAAAACAATGTTTTCTACTGACTCGTCTGAGAATTCTAAAGGTATGCTTTAAAAAAAAAAAAAATTATGCTTTATATGTCTTTTTATACTTGTCGATTCCTTCTTTTAATTACTTTATTTACTTTTTAAAAAAGTTGTTCCTTATCGCGCTACTAACTGCGTGGAAAACAATAAGAATACAAATGGTCCAATTTCTTGTCACCATAATATACCCCCTCCGCCTTTATATTCCTCAAATACAACTATGCTATCATTCAATAATGTCGAACAATCATATACGAGAGTGGTTGGTCAAGTCTATTCTAGAGAAACTGTTACGACAATTTATGGTGATCCGACTTCTTCTAATTGTTGGGTAAGTTGTGCTACCCCTCGGAAAATATTTTTTTCCACTGTGGATGCTACATCAACTTCCATGCTGTGTGCTGTCTCGTGGTTTCTTCTTCTGTACTGTTGTGAAACTATCAGAGAGCTGTCAATTTTCTTCCGGTTTTATTTCCTAATTTGATATTAAATCTAAAGATCTGCAATTCTACTTAATGTTTAAAGAATCAACGTCAAGTCGGTTTCTATTGCTACGTATGTCATTCCGTTATAAATCCTCAAGATTTTCATTCCTTGGTTTCCTGCGCTTCGCAAAATTGTGATGTTTACGCTCATGTTGGTACGTTATCACTGTCTTTATCAGTCATCTATTTTATTATGTGATATCGATCGTTGTTAATTAGTTGTTATCTATCATTGTTATCGATCGTTGTTATCGATCGTTGTTATCGTTGTATGCTTATACCCATATATAACGAATGACGTGTATGAATTGATTTTTTTATTTTTTTATTTTTTTTTTATGTTAGGATGTTTAATGAAAAATGGATTTCATGATAGGAATAATCCTTGGTATTGTCAAAGATGTATTTCCACAACTCATCAATCATTTTCGGTGAGCGATACTTGTACGAATCATTTCAATTTCCCTTTCTCTTTTGGTTCATTATCTGACCTCTTTTTTATAGTCCCCTGTTCGTTCAATGGAACAAATTCCCTCAAATTCTGTCGAAAATAATCCTTCTCCACCAATAAATCCATTGCATTTATTGTTGGAAGCTTCTGATCAAATAGTATGTAATGTTCCTTTTACATAATTATAGCCTTTATACTCATCATGCATATATGTTAGTTACACTTACACTTACACTTATTTATTTTATTTATTAGCAATCAAATTCGGGTCCGGATAATAATATCTCGGTTAATACTCCCGTCATTCAGCGGGAAACTACATCAACTCAATATTCTGATGTTAATGACAGCTCTTCTCGTACCGACTTTATGTCCTGTGATCCTGTTCCTGATCAACGTCTTTTGAATTATAACATGAATATTGACTTGATGAATGCTAACGGTGGTCATGATGATGTGGAAACTATCCCCGCAAAGTTTAAAGCTCAATATGCTACTTATAATGAAGGTTAGTTAGTTTAATATTATTATAGAGTTTATATTATTATTATTACAACAATTACAATTTATTATTATTACAACAATTACAATTTATTATTATTACAACAATTACAATTTATTATTATTACAACAATTACAATTT